GTTAGAGGTGCTTGAAATCCTTAAAAATGCTTGAATTTTGAGAAGTACATTCAAGGGTTTAAAATGATTTATTTACAGTGCTTGCTTCCCTGTTGTTACAGACTTTTTTACGTGAACATGGCTGATGTGTAAATCCGGTCGCGGCTGGATAAATCTCAGAAACTCCTTTTTAATGTGATTGAAAAAATTCTTGAAAGTTTAACATCAACAAGCAGCAACTTTTGATTCAATTCAGTTTCCAAAACATAAGATCATAAATAAAATTTTACTGAAACATAATTAAAAGATGAATAAATTAAAAATCCTTTGAATGTAACTTAGTCATTCCTAAAACCTTTTAATTTAAATAATAATAATAATTAGTCTGTACACCACATGCTTAACAAAATAAAGCACATGCAGTAAAGAAGGATCAGTCATTTTATTTATCTATTTAACACATTTTACTGTTGTTTAGCCTTTATCTCCAACTTCCACTGCTTGGTCTTCTTCCTGATGTAGAGCCCCACCACGTGGACACAGTTGGTATTACACCCCAAACATAAAATTGAATGCATGAAATCAATTTCAGAGCCTTTAAAAAAATCAACATTTTGTTTAATAAAACAATTTAATCTTTAAATTGTTTTTGGAACAATTTAAAGGTTAAATTAAAAATCGCTTTCTCTAACAAATGCAAATCAGCATCAGATGAGCAGCAGCACAGAAATTTCCACGCCACATCGTTTCTGATTGGACCAGCAGCAGACGAGGATCACATCAAAGGTGAGCCTGAATAAAACTCATTTTTAGTGGATCAGCACATGTTTTCTACTTTCTCTTTAATATTCTGAGTTTTTAATTTGATCAATCAAGTGGACTCCCCTTTCTGAGCCCTAGGTATTATTTTTTGTTATATTTTATTTTTAACCTTTTGACTGGTAGGCCAACCACTTATTGCTCCTAATAACACACTGAAGTTAGAAGAAAAATCTAATATAATTAACAGAAATTAAACATTATTATCCTGCATTATTATTTATTCAAAATATTGTTATATTCTTATTATTATGAATTTATAGCACCTTAAAGCTGCAATGGCAAATTTGGAGAACAAGTTGGCTTAAATCATTAACATTCCATGCCTCTTAATGAGGTTTTAACATAATTTAGCTATAAATATATCGTGGAGATTGAAACAAACAAAAATAATGTGGCTTTCTCGCCAATAACAGGTGTCAGACTGAAAGAAACTATTGGACAATTCGGTTGTCAGTCTTGTCGAGCCGCCACACCTCACTGGGTCCTCCACTCATTACACACTAATGTCTTTAGGAACAGAACACCGCTGGTGGAGAGGTTCTCCGCTCAGTAACACCAGAGGAGGAGAAACAGCTGGCTGCTACCACTTCAGCTTTAGGACAAACCAGAGTCCCAAAAAGAAAAACACCGTCTGAAGTCACGGACAACAAAAGACGTTTGAAACTAGAAAACAATGACCACTGTTTAACGTTATCTCGTTTCCACTGGCATCACTGGTTTCCAGTTCCAGCAGAAGTGTCTCAGGGAAGATCCTGGCACTCGCAGAGAACAGACGCTTCTCTTTTTGCTCCCTCATCTTTTTTTCCCAAGGCTCTTTGTCCTGTCTGCCCACAGAGTGCTTCTCTGCATTTCTTCTGAAAAACCCTATTTTTAAACATGGATTTGATAAATTGGTCATTCAACACGACTGATAAGATTTTTTCAACAATGAGAACGGAGCAGGGGGCTCCCACATGTCCACAGGGGACACACCCGGCGTGGTACATGCTGGATTCCTGGAAGGAATGGAAGATCGTATGCCTTTCCCAGCTCTCCATTGAGGATGTCGAAGACGTGTGGATATTCGGCCTGATGATCACTGGATTTCTCCTGATTGGAGTGGGAGGATATCTGGTTTTCTGGAAATTTGGGAAGACGGGAGCGATTGGAGGGCGACCCGCACCCACGGAAAGCACCGTCCGTGTGGAGACTTCACAGACTGGGACGTTACTCGAGGTGAATCGTAAGCTGGACAATGTTCTAGCTGCGATACCGGTATTAGTGCGCAAAATGGATGTCATCTCGGAGAGAGTCACCGGACGGTATGGACAAGTTTAAAAACCCAAAATTGGCTTCACTGAAGGACTGGAATGATCAGTTTAAAGACTGAAGGCAGAGAGGAAAATTATCTCAGCCTGACCCAAACAAGTTCTTGTTATCCGAATCTGACACCCTGGTAGCCTTGAGAGTCTAGGAACAAACCCCCAAGATGGAATGCAGACAGATGCTGTGACCCCCCCCCCCCCCCCCCCCCAGCCTTCGGGTTGGTGGACTTCAGCCTGGCGAGGTCATCAACCTGCAGGAGTCAATGTGCTCTGCGCTTCTGCCGAGATCTCCCTCCCACCTGTGGCTACAGTGGCTGAGTGCCGTAGATGGCTGCTCTCAAATCAAAATCAAATCAAAGCTTTATTTATAAAGCGCCTTCCGCAACCCTGTCAGGAAGCCCAAGGCGCTGAACATGGTACAGTAGTACTCTCGCTGGGGAAACAGGATCCCAGCCCCCCCTGCCTTCCTATTGGAGTCTCATGTTATGTTGTGTTGTCTGAAGTCTGTTGCATATCTATGAGGTGTTTTTTTGCAGAGCAAAGCTGCCCTCCTGGTGGGAGGGTAGCTGTGAAGTGCCTTTTTTTCCCTCCTCCCGAATAAATCCCTCATGTTACCCTCTTATCTCTATTAAGGTAGCACGACTCGGGGTTGCGAATGACCACAGTCACCAATTCTTGTCATGTGTATGTCTAATGTCTGAATTGTGTGTACTGAAACTCTAATTTCCCTCTGGGATTAATAAAGTGTCTCTGATTTGATCCCCAAGGGAGGGGCGAGTGATCTGTGTTCAAAACCTAGCTTGTTCTGTAGTACAAAAAATGCCAGAAGCTTATAGCCTGGCTAGCCGTCCTATAAATGTGAATATAAAGTCCGACCATGACCCACAGACAGAGCTTAGCCGTCGGGGGAGTCCACGGTTTCCTTTCAAACTGTCTCCACATCCTATTGGACAAAGGACAATGTGACGTACTCATTGGATGTCAGTCAGCGAGGCAGTCCGCCATCCTTTTTCTAAATAAAGGACCTAAGTACCTTTTTTCAAAGAAAAGCACAATTCTGTATAGTCCAAAGTTGGTACCAAAGCCTTCTCGAACAAGCCGCCACCATCTTTGTTTCGCTCAGTCGTATCATCCCGCCCACGCTGTGATTGGCCCACCAAACCAATGGTCATTGTCACACCACCAGGCCAGGCCTGTGAAGCGTGGCTAGACCAACGTGCAGAGCAACATCATTTTGCTTCTGCCCGTCTCTTGGCTAAGAAGTTTATAGTTTAAACTGCTTTAAGTCTTGCAGATTTTGCAGTTATAAAATATTGTCAGTTTGTAAAACATGTAAATTAAGATTAGCTTTATTATTGAATTTAGCTACAAAATGAAGAAATAAGAAAAGCATCTTTGCTTTAATGGCTGGACTTCAAAGAAAATCACATTTTTTCTCTTTAAGTTACTAAAATCTCCCATAAAAATAAAATTGTTTTTCTCTCTTCAAGGTTGGAACTGTTGAATAATTTCTAACTAGTTTCTCTTCATCTTGTCGTTAGATCCAGAATATTCCAGTTCTGGTCGGTCAGGCTCTGTTGCTGCATCCAGCAGAGGGAGGTGCAGGTCTTAGAATAAAAGATGTATTAATGACAAATAATAAAACTCCTGTACACAAACACACACACGCACGCACGCACGCACGCACGCACGCACACACACACACACACACACACACACACACACACACACACACACACACACACACACACACACACACACATTCCAGATGAATTTTGATGCCGCCTCTTCTTCTTCGAACAAAAACTTTTTGTTTTCCAAACTTTTACCTCCAGGATGAAGTCATCCGTCACTCCCTCTCCTTCCCATTTCTCTTTGTTTACATCATTTGTTTAGAGTTAAACATCAAAACAGACTTTTCTCATTTTCTACATTTATTCTCTGCTTTTCTCCCAGTTCATTTGTCCAGTTTTCTTTTTTCCCACTCTGGTTTTGTTCTCTTTCCCTCCCACTCGTGACCTCTTCCTGTCATCCCTTCCTTCTCAGACGCTGTGACTCATCCTCGTCTTTCTCCTGCCTCCACTCTTTCACTCGTCTCTCATCCTCCCATTTTTCATCCCATAAAGAATCGGCACAAGTACAGGCTCTCCATCTCACTCCTCTCACCCCTTCACCTTCCTATCCAGGCTGTGACTCATCCTCTGTGCTCTCTTGTGTTACTTTCCCATATTTATCTCTAAAAGCAATAATATTTATAGTAAAATAAGTTATTTTTAAAAATTATACCTCTGTGTTTGGTGTTGGGAAGTGTAAGAAATAAGTTTCATTACTGACAGAGAAACGTGTCACCCTCTAGCGGTCAACTTTGGAAGTGCAGCACCTTGAAGCTGTAACGAACAAAACCTCAAATCTCTAAATTAAAACATGACATATTTATAAAAATAAATAAGGATCTCGTTTTCTAGTTAAATAAAAACCAAAAATAGATTAAAACCGAGTTGAATTTTATGTTGAGCTCAGATGAAGACTTAAAATCCTTATTTCCGTCACGTGAACCTCTGTAGATCAGAGATAAGATGTCTGGCCGTAGTGCTCTTCCTCATTTCATTTAAAAGTTAATAAGTTAAAGTTAATATTAATATTTTAAAATGATACGAACAAGAGAAGCTAACCATGGAGGTGCAACCAGGTCGTCTATTTAAAACCTTCTGAAAGTTTCATTAAAATCTGCCCAGAGGTTCAGATGCTTCACCAGAACAATCTTCCCCATCCTCACCTTTCAGTGGTGAACAGTATTTAGAAAATTAATTTCCTTTGTAACCACTATTTCCCTTTTATTTTGAAAGGGTTCACCACAGGTAGTTGGTTTTACTTCCTGTCCCAAAACCTGCTGCTCACCTGCATGACCTCACATGATCAGAAGAAGCTCAGGTGGTGATTTTACTGAGAATTTGAGAGGGAAGACATCAAATTAAGAATTGGCCTCCTCTGCATGATGCAGCAGGCAAACTCTTACTCTGAGTCTCGGAGATCCATTTCCCTATTTCCATTAAAAACTCAACCCAGATGTGATGAAACCACCAACAGCATGGTGTCGGTAAGCTGGAAACATGGAGAAAAAGCTTCCTCTGCATCATGTTATGACTTTGACTTGTGACTAGATTTACATAAACGCATTAATGGGCCTTAAATATGTGCATTTATGTAATAATTTGTTATTTTTCACCGCAGAAAATAATGTTTTTACCTTTAAGTGTGTGTTTACTTTTCTGTAACTTTAGCAAAAAAAAAAAACACTTCATGGCATTTCTTTAATTTTTGTAGAATTCAGTCTGATTGAACCAGATTCAAGATGGCCGCCACAGTTGTAAACACAAGAAATGCAATAATTCAGATCATTTATTCATCTGTTGCGGGGATAAGAGGCTCGTAGATCACACTGGACGTTGCAATTTAACACGAGGCTGAGCAATTTGTTGCAATCGTGATTTGACACAAAGACGAAAACTTCATTTTTCAACATGAGATGATTTCAGTTTAAAACGCCGGCGTGAAAATGATGAGCCATGTGGAAAATCACAATCGGGTCAGAAGCTTGGTGACTTTTTTTGGTCATAAATGTTTAAATTAAAGGTGGTTTCAAAATAAAATATCACGAACAACAAACAAATCCAATAATGTGATAAGAGACATAATCTGAAGTAGTGAAATATCACTTGAATGAGTGGATTTAATCCGTATTTTGCTTTCCTTCCATCACTAATAGTGTTTTTAAGCCATCCGTGCATTTTCTCCCACTTATCCCAGGTCAAGCCGAAGGAGTATCTGGTCCAGGAGACGTTCCTGCCCCCTGCTCCATCTGAGTGATTCCCAGCACTTCCAGGCCAGAGAGGATGCCTCACCTCTCCAGGTAGTTCTGGGTCTTTGTGCCGGCTCCTCCCAGTGGGAAACGCCTGGAAAACCTCCTGAAGATCTCTAAATGATAAACAATCAATGAGGAAATATTTGGAATAATTAGAGTTCTGGATTTGCACCAACAGAAACATGCAAGTATGGTTTCTGGTTTGATTAAAAAAAAACAAAAGATAAAAATCCCTTTCGCTCACTTCAGACGTCCAAGCTGTTGCTTCACTGTGAGGCCGCTCATGGGAAAACGGCTGATTCAGCGGGGCGGAGGACCATCAGGCGACGCGGGCCAGTCACGCACCGATATCGTGTACTTAAAGCACACAGACATTCCTCTCTGGCCCGTCACAGATTTACTCGTGTTTATTGTGTCATTTTCCTGTTCTTTCTCCTTTGGGTCGGGGATTATTTGTGGTCATTAGCGTCGTAGCAACACTGGAAAGCCCCCAGACCAAAGGTTACGGGTTTCCTGTGAAAGGCTCGGCTTCATTACTTTCTGGCAAAAGACACAAGAAACGGAAAGGAGAGGAAAATGATCTTCCACTGACCCCGTCTCACGGATTAAACCACCAGAGAGTCATTATTTACCTTCTAACCATCAGCTGCCAGACCTTGGCTGAGCGTGGTGCTAAATACGTTAGCATTAGCTCCTTCTTTACAGGTTCTTCCACCTGAAGGATGAAATTAGATCGAGGTAAAATAAACAGACGTACAGAAAATGTGTTGGATTGGTTCTGATAAGATTGATAAGCTAATGGCTAGTCAGAGTAACACATTGCTGTCTCAATGCAACCTCATTGGTTGAAGCAAATGCTAATTAAAACGGATGCATGGTTATTTACGTTGAATTTTGTGGTTGTCACGTCAAACATTAGTAGCAGCTAGCTGTAGCGTTTTCTCTAGCCCTTTAGGACCGCTCTGGTGGGAATATTTTTCTAGTTTTACCAGAACACAAACCCGAGTGTTGTGTAAAGGTTTAAAAATCTGATTTTGCTTTAAATGAAGGGATATTTTGTGCTTTACAGAACAATAATTCACACACGAGGTGAAAAGCCACAGCGGCCCCGGGACGCACTGACAGAAAGAAGGCTGCTGAGTGCAGGTGCCACCAGCAGGCAGGAGGGTGAAGTTTCATATCCAAGGACACAACTGGCACGGATGGAGCCTGGATTGGAACCGACAACCCTGCAGGTACAGGGTTATGTCCTGACCCCTGGATCACCGTTAATGTAGAACGGAGCTGTTTTATGAAAACATTAGTCTACTTTGATCTCACACTAGCCGTTAGCTCATCAGTCCTTCAGGCTGTTAACTTAAACGCAGAAACAAACGTAGGACTAGCAAAAAAAAAAGTTCAAAAGCCCGTCTCAGGCTTCCCCAGGTTGTTTACTGCAGCAAATTCAGACCTGATCCTGAATCATTAAGTGCATCAAACAGGCTGCTGTGTCTGAGTTTTCGACCTAATTCACCTTTTCGCTTCCCCAGCCTCCCCCTTGCTCCAGGGAGACAGTTGTGTCAAGCCAAGGAGTATTTTTATTACATCCCATCCTGGGCTCCAGCCAGCTTCTGGCTCATTCTGTTCTTCGTGCTTGGTGGAACTATCAAGACTATACTAACATTGCACTTTTCTAACCAAAAAGGATCCCCACATCCCCTAAAAGAAGCATCTTTGCTGACTCACCACCTGAGTCAGATACTCTCCCTGTTTGTGTCTCTTTAGGCATCATGTCTGTGCTGCGGCAGGAGAACGTGTACGAACAACGGTATTCAGACTGAGTGACACATCGTCGACAGCATGTTGAGGATGCAGCCCCCTGTGAACTGTTGCTATGGCGACAGTCAAACCAACAAAGGTAGAGTCGGGGGGTTGCTTTTATGGTAATCAATTAACAAATGACTCCGTTTACCCCAAGGTTAAAGTCAAATAATCTAATCTGGATGAACTTTGGGTCGGAAATGATTTTAAAAATTAATAACTTAGCAGCAAAATTAGTCAACCAAATTCAAGATGGCCACCGTAAACAACTGATGTCAGAAATCACAAATGTGGCTTCAACAGGTTAAGATTCAGGCATTAATTACTCTTAATTTGATTTACAGATTAAATTACTTTTATTAAACATATCTGAGGTAAAACGCAGAAATTTTCCTCCCAACGATTTATTTTGGCTGGCAAATCGGACTCTTTTGGTTCACATACTTAAACTAAACATTTTGACTATTTTTGGCTGGGACACAAAGTCACCATGCGCCGTCGCGTTTTGTAGAAAATAAAATAACCTCATAATCCTCTTGGGACTCAGCAGGACATAAAAGACGAGTGCAAACTTCCCACATTTGTAGTCAAACATGAGTCATCGTGAAAAGTGCACGACGAGACGCACGCTGGTCTCCTGAGATGCTGCCTCAGAGTTTCCAGAACATCTCCGCTGTGGTTGCTCATTGTGTATGAGAGGCATCAGCTGCGAGCTGGAGCTGCAGACGGCAGTTAGTGAAAAGTTTAGTTCCTATAGAACTGTGTGTTTTTCTGACTTGGATTTCATTTTAACGAGAAGACTTTAATTGTATCTAGTACAAGTACTAGATAACACAATTAACATCTAGTACTGACTGTGTCCAGTAAAAACACACTGCAGGGATGCTGATATACTTTAATCTGACAGTTTGGCACATTTTAAAGGGGTACTAAGTAGGGATGAGCCGGATACTCGTTTCAGACGAGTATCCTGTACGGATAAAGCATTTTTGACGAATACGAGCATGAAACGAGTAAAACTAGTAAATATCTGCAATCGTGCTGATGGAAAATCCTCATTGGGTAACTGACTGTCTTCACGCTCTGTGATTGGCCAGTCACATAGAGCACCCGCCCCTCTCTACACACAAAACTCTAGCCGGCCGGGAGCGCAGTCCGTCCTGTTCATCCACGCACACACACACACACACACACACAGACACACACACACACACACACACAGACACACACACACACACACACACACACACACACACACACACAGACACACAGACACACACACACACACACACACACACACACACACAGACACACACACACACACACACACACACACACACACACACAGACACACAGACACACAGACACACACACACACACACACACACACACAGACACACACAGACACACAGACACACACACACACACACACACACACACACACACACACACACACACACACAGACAGACAGACACACAGACACACAGACACACAGACACACAGACACACACACACACACACACACACACACACACACACACACACACACACACACACACACACACACACGGTAACGGATCTCGCTGTGATTGCTTCACTGTTGCTCACGTTTCTTCAGTTTTCCCTAGGTTTTCTTCAGCTCGCCTCTTTTTCGGTTGAATATTTAAAATTACTTTTTTCGTAACTTACATGGCGCATTTGACAAGACAGAGCTGACGTGCTGCATTAACTCACCACCTCCGCTACGGTCGGGTTTTTTATTTTTTTGAACTCACTCACTCACTCACTCACTCACTCACTCACTCACTCACTCACTCACTCACTCTCACACACACACACACACACACACACACACACACAAACCCTAATCAACATTGCTTTGTTTAACTTTGTGTGGGAAAATGCCAAGAACGTTAAGAAAAAAAACAGTTTAATCAAATAAAAAAATATATATAGTCGTGTCTGGTTCTAGCATTTCATATTTCCTAGTTCCTACTGCATGAGTTCAGATGTATTAATCCATGCACTTAAATATTAATGTTCTGATTTTATTGAAACACTTGTTCTGAAATAGTTTCTTTACTATTGTGATCAAAAATATTTCATCTCAATTCCGAGGCTGCTCTGTAAATAGTTTTCAAATAAACAATACACATGTCAACTTCTGATCATTCCATATCAATCTCAGACTAAAAATAATGTATTGATGTAAACCACACCCACTTCCGGTTAAACCACGCCCACTTCCGGGTTATGTCACGCCCATTCCGAGTATAGATACAGATACAGATAATTTAGTTGGTTGAACAGATACAGATATAGATAGTGGTGTTCTCGCTCATCCCTAGTACTAAGCATGTTGATTGCTTTTAGCACCCCCTAGTGTCCTTTAGTGATTTTCTGTGGTCAAACCCAAAATGAAACTCATCTCGTCGCTGTCAGTTTGTCTTTTTAACACCTTAATCCAGCGGTTCCCAAATTTATTTAGCCACGCACCCCCTTCTATGTCCCGACCATGTCGACGCACCCCCAGCCCCCACATCAGGGCATATATATATATATATATATATATATATATATATATATATCAGACGACAAGCGTCAAGCTAAACAGTCACTCGACAGACAGGGTTAAAAAAATATGATCAACCTTTTTCCCCATCACTTTCATTTTTTAAATAGTAGGCCCTTATTAATAAACATTCAATACCATTACAATTTCCTTTGATTTAATTTTAAATAAATATTTAGAGTGCCCAGGTAGCACATCAACAATGCAATTTAACGGTTTTCGCATGGAACGTAACCCGTGGCCAGAGCTCTCTCCTTCCTTCTGCTCTGCGTAAACCTGAGCTGGCCACCTACTTGTGCGTAATCAAATGTCTGTAGGGGAAAAGATGGAAAAGCTATAGCCATGAGGTTCACGTTTGCCTCAGACCGACTTATCGCTGTTTCATGGTGTGGCTGAATCTGCGATCTACTGCCACGCGGACTGGAATAACAAATGCTGCAGTAACAGGAGTTGTGGTCAGGTTCATGACTGGCTCCACTGGCTGGAGCGGACTCGAATTTCATACGCCATCCCAAAATAGAAGCTAATATCTTAATTTGACCTTGAATGAAAAATGTTGTTGTAAAACCTCTTAAAAGTTTTTTTTTACCACGGAGGAGACAGCGCTCATTTCTGCCTTCAGTCTGACGGCGCAGCGCGTGTGCTTATTGAAACAGTGTGTGTGTGTGTGTGTGTGTGTGTGTGTGTGTGTGTGTGTGTGTCTGCGGCACAGCTCCTTGAGCCGCTCAAGTCACTGCGTCTTGTTATTGGCGCTATTTAAACCAATGTTGTAAAATTACTTCTGCCCAGCCCAGATGCGCTCACTTGTGCACCCGTGGGTGTTCTGCTGGAACGCGTCTGACCTCTGACAGACGCACTCTGAACTTCAGATCTTCAGCGCGCTGTTAATAGCCTGACACGTTTAGAATGCTGTCCCACAGTCAGTGTGCTAATATAATAATATAATAATGCTAAAATGCTCAGATGGGAATCATTTCTTGATTTATTTAGTTACATCCACAATGTTCTGTGTGTGAGGTTTACAACGTCAGAACACCTGCATGAGACAGGGTGTTAATTACAATCTGCCAGAATGACTCGCCACCTTCAGATTCCTCCAACATCGTTAAAAATGATCAAATACGGAACATATCGGCGTGCGCAGGCCAGAGCGCTGAAGCTCGGCGCATTGTTATTATGAAGCTAGGCCACATGCGGAGGACACACACACACACACACACACACACGCACACCTACACACACACGCACACACGCACACACACACGCACGCACGCACGCACGCACGCACGCACGCACGCACGCACGCACGCACACACACACACACACACACACACACACACACACACACACACACACACACACACACACACACACACACACAAAATATACTTGTTTTCAATTACATTTATTGGGCCCACTTTTTCTTAGGCCCACCCACAAATGAGTTTCTGGCTACGCTAATGGGGACATATGACAGACTTCTCTGAGCTCCGCAGCCATTACACTTTTCACCTCGCGCACCCCCTAGCGGCAGCTCGCGCACAACACTCTTAGGGAATCCCTGCCTCAATCCAACAGCTGAAATGTCTCCCCAGCCTTCATTAGTGTCTACAGGAGCGCTTCATCAATAAATTAAACAAATCAGCTGTGTTCATGATTTAAAACATGCGGGAAATTTGCTGGAACCAGACTGCAGTGCCAGGTATGTCAGCTAAATTTTTTCTAAGTCCAACAGACTGGACCGGCACTCCTAAGTTGCAAATGCTGTTTTCTGGCCACAGGAAGCGTTAGTGGTCTGAGTGACATTTTATTAACGCTGTAAAGGGTCGTTTTGGCACATATTGGCTCAAAATGTTATTTAAAAATATGAAAAAGTTGCATAGTACGGCGTTAAGGACACTTTATGAAAGAAATCATCGGATGTTCATCGTCAGCTGATTTTGGGAGCAGACCCCGTTCAAGATGGCTACCACAGCCAACCACGCATAAACAGCAAAACGGGATACAACTCTGTCAGTTTTACAGTTATTGAGTTACACACTGGAGTCATGAGAGCTGAGATTCATCTTTATCAGTAAGTTAAAGCGTGTGACATAGTTGCGTAACACTTTGGCATCAACTCTTGGAATCAGCCCTGTTAGAATATCTCACGAATCACCGCATAGATTTTAAGGAAACTTGCGGAAAAGGGAGGATTGGGTCAGAAATCAGCATACTTATCTCGCTGTTTGAGCCAGGCATTAGCTAGTACGTTTGATTTTATTTTAACACATAGCTGATTCTGCAAGGTCTTTTGACTCTGCAAGACTTTTCCCAGCTAGGCGATCAAAATGTAAAAGCGATACGCGTTTGTTTAAGGACAGCCTGGCCTTTAAGTCCTTTTTTCTTTCTCTTAATATTTTTGCTTCAAAATTCTGAATGTGAGGCCAGATACAATTCAGCTCATGTTTGGACGGTTTTCCCTTAAGCCCTTCACCGTTTCCTAGGAGATGGCTCTTCTGTGCTGTTGGCCTGCAGACACACA